CTGCTGAAGTGACAAACCCTCCCAGAGCACCTGGCTGAATTTCTTCACCAGGACTCTTGGGTGGGTTTGGTGCTGAAGGCTGGCATTTGGTGAGAGAACCAGTGCTTTGAGTCGCCGTTTGGTCTCATCTCTGCCTCTGGAGAAATGCTGGCACACGCTGCTCCCTTACACAGGGCAGAGGGCAAGGCAGAAACGGAGCCCTCTGGTATAGAAATAGGTGGCTGCGTGCGTGCAGCGTGGCACTAACAGCCTCCTGAGACGCGGGCACGTTCCCCGCTGCAGCTGACCGGCCGGATTCTGATCTCTCACCACTTCCCACCCATGCATCTCCATGGACCTCAGTGCTGTAACTCTTGATTCTCTCTGGTGTAAATGGTGTAGGCTCAGGGGTGTGGACAGGTGTCTCCTTTCTGGCCACTTTATTTCCCCACCTCTGGTGTCAAATGATGAATGTAAACGCTCCCCAGTTCAATGCTGGTTTGGGATACGAAGCTCTCCTCCCCCTAGTGGACCCTTACCGCAGGGAAGTGAGGTTTCAAGCCCCAGTATAAACGGAGTTTCATAGTGTCACAGTAGCTAGGGTCAGGAGGGACCTGAACAGATCATCTCGCCTGACCCCTGCCATGGCAGGAATGAACGCTGGGTTCACAAGACCCCAGGTGATCATCCAACCTTCTCTTGAACTTGCCCAAGGGAGGGGCGAGGACCACTTCCCTGGGAAGTTGGTTCCAGATTTTGGCCACCCGAACTGTCAAATATTGCCTTCTGATCTCTAACCTAAACCTGTTCTCCATCAGCTCATGACCATTGTTCCTCGTCACCCCAGGCGGTGCTGGGCAGAAAAGGGCTCTGCCTGTTTGCTGTTGATCTCCCCTGATGAGCTTGTAGGCGGTCACCAGGTCCCCCCTCAGCCTCCTCTTGCTGAGGCTGAACAGGTTCAGGTCCCTCAGTCTCTCCTCGTAGGGCCTGTCCTACTGCCCTCTCACCAAGCGGGTGGCCTCCTCTGGACCCTCTCCAGGCTGCCACATCCCTCCTGAAGTGCGGAGCCCAGTACTGGACGCCGTACTCCACCTGCGGCCTGGCCCATCCGAGATCCCTTTCTGCCTCCGTGCTTTCAAGAGGGGAACTCCCCAGCCTGTGCGTGTGCTGTGGAGTCCTTCTCCCCACGTGCAGCACCCTGCACTTGTCTACGTTGAACCCCATCCTATTCTAGTCCTCCCACTTCTGTAGTCTGTCTAAATCTAGTTGCAGCCTCTCTCTCCCTTCAATTGTGTCCACCTCGCCCTACATCTTAGTGTCATCAGCAAGCTTGGACAGTGTGCTTTCCACCCCCTTGTCCAAGTCGCTAATAAAGAGATTGAACAGTGCGGGCCCGAGGACCGAGCCCTGGGGACCTCACTGCTCACATCTCGCCAGGTTGAGTACAACCCGTCCACCACCACTCTCTGGGTGCGTCCCATCAGCCAATTTTTTACCCATCCAACTGTGCAGAGTTGAGATCCAATGCCCAGAGTTACAGCAGTAAATACCTGCAAAACTTTGTGAAGAGCATCAAACACTTGTATGTCAGGGTAGGAGCCAACCACTAAGTATTGCAAGCTGCAAGGAAACTTCTCCCTGAAAGCAGGTTACTCTGGGATTCCTCAGTGCAGGGTATGTACCGGGGAAGCAGCAGGCACTGGCCACGGGAGCAATTAGGCCCCTCATCATTAACAATGGGAGTCTAAGGTGAAATTCTCTTGTATGGCAAAAGCCCCTTCTGCCTATTGGAAATGCAACCTTACTCTGTGTGTGTGTGTGTGTGTGTGTGTGTGTGCGCGCGCATAGCACAGAGGGAGAGAATGATTGCTTGTGTACACACACACACACAACATATAAATGTACAAACATATGCATATACACTTGTGTGCACATATAAGCATACATATACATCTAGCTTTAAAAAAATCTCAAGACTAGTGTGATAACAGCAAAAATCTCCCCTTGGCTCCAGTGGGAGGACAGATCGGGCACTTCTGTCTTTACTCACTGGAATCAGAAGCTTTTTTTTTTTAACATTTATTTAAAAATGAAATCAGTACCTCTTGGACATTGAAAAAATATGTGCAAGGCATGTGCCTGGTGCTTCCTGCAAGGGTGCTGCCTGGATGTCTCGGCGTGCTGGATGCCGGGGAACAGTACAAGCCGGCTGTGTAGGCTGCTGAAGTTCTCACAATGGAACTTGAGACTGATCTGGTTACAAATAGATTTCAACCCAGTCCTGCAGGGCAGGAAGAACTGTTCCTCCGGAGAACGAGGGCGCCGGGGAGAGCCCAACATAATGCAATGAAAAGAATGGACGCGGCAGCTCCCTGCCATAACTCGTCATTGCAGCAGGTTTGAATATGTCCCTTCAAAATGCTGCACCTATGCGAGGCAGCACTAGAGGTCCAAAGACTCTACACAGAGGTTAGTGGCCCGTGAGTGTGAGGAACAATTGGCAAAGCCACGCACAGGATTTTCCCCAAACCTCCTATGCAGACAGGTAACTCGCTCTGTGCACTACGAAACGCTAAAGCTACCGCAGCACCTTCCACAATGCCTTCGGGATGGATGGAGCTGCAAGCAGGGCAGGACTAGGCATGGGCTCTCACTGGTTGCAGTGTCCCTTGAACCAGTCTCACACATTTGCAAACTCGGCACTGAGACATGAGCCTCCTTGCCAGGCAGCTCCCCCAAGCCCAAGTAATACGTTCAGGTCGTGGTTTGTACAAAAGCCTAGTGCTGCGCTCTCTGCTACAACCCCTGACCGAGATACATCAGAGGTTAGTGAAACGCAAAGCCCACAACAAAGCAAGAGGCAGATTCTTCTGATTTCTGTTTATGAAGTAGAATACAAACCAAAGTTTTCTGTTGATTCAGAGAAGTTGGCAATGAGATAAAGAGGACCACACATGCAAACACACACAAGCATGCGCTCTCTTCAAAGACTTAGCACCCTGAGTAAGCCAGGGGATCATATCCAACAAATTTAAGGTTCAAAGACATGGAAAAATGTTGCATGAGCCTGGCTGGGGTATGTGCTCCAGCTCAGTAACAGATACTTCAACGTTCAGCCTTCATCATTTTGGACAGGCAGTTCTGTAAAATCCTTACACAGCTGAACACACACGCACGCACACACATGTGCACACAAACACGCACACAATCACCCACCCCAGCTGCTGAATAAATCGTCTGCATACTGCTGCCACAGAGAGCTGTTTGGGAATTCACTGGGACTGGCCATGTATGCACAGCCTGACACAGCCCAGCAAAACAGCTTTATAATGAGGATTTCCCTGCAAAGGACCCCCTTCTCCACCCTCAAGAAATATATGCCCTATCTGCAGCTGCCGTGCCATGTAAAAGGGACATGGCATCCCTCTTTATCAGCGCAGAAGAGCAGAGTGGGGAGGAACTGTCGCTTCAAAGAAACAGCTTGGGAGTAGAAAGTGAACAGATTAACAGCCGTCAGTATGAATTGACAGCTGCCAACATGCTGCCCAGCCAACCCCAGATAATGGGCCAGCAAACACATCTGGAGGGCCCTGTTTAGGGGCATGTGGCCACTGGGAACCCCCAGGGTAGGGGGGCAATGCTGGGGGTGGCCTCAAGACTATGCACCTGACCATAAATCCATCCATCCCATCCAAACAGCATGGTAGAAAAGAGGTGGAAGGAAACCTAGGGGCAAAGCCAGAAAAAAGGGGACCAGGAACCTGGAGAGGGCTTGGGATATAATCCCCAGGGAGCAGTGGGGGAATGGCAAAAGCTCTGCCCTGCACGTTCTGCAGATTTGGAGGTGAAAGCGGATGGGAAGTCTCCACTAAACCTCTGGGGTTTGAGCCCCTGCAAAGCAGCTGCACCAGCCTTTTTAAAACAGTGCTGTGCAAATCCATGTACGGATCCAGGGATTTCTATCTGACTCCCCCAGGACTGATCTGTCTGAAGTCCCGGGAACCTCCGAACAACCAAAGTGGACCCAGGACCTGGCACTGAGCCGCAGACTCCCCACGGCGGTGCTCAGCAGGGGTATGGCTGGGCAGATGTGTCTCTTTCTTAGCCCCAGTGACATGAAAGTCCAAAGAGTTTTTAAAACAAACGTTGGCCAGCCCCCGGCTGTGCCGCTCCTGGATCGCCATGCGAAATGTGGCATGAGCTAAGCACTTTGGTTCCTTTCATGCGACGCATTAGACCGGGCTTCTAGATGGCCTGAGCGTGTGAGATGACCACAGGTCAGGGAGGTGACACCAGCTCCAGGGAAACTGGAATCCCTTCCTGGTAAATTCCCGTGGTCGTGCCAACTTTTCTGAGGGAGACGCAGATAAGACCGGCCAAGAAGGCTGCAACGGATGTGCCGTCCCAGTGCTACGCGGATCTCCGGCAGGTCCAACACAGCCCGGGAAAGCAGCGTATGGGGACAGAACTGCCAGCCTACATGGGCCCCCCGCACGGAAAGACTGACGGACATACCTGTCCCACAGGTCGCGGTGCACTTTGTCCAGGAGCCGTAGTGCCAGAAAAACTCTGCCGGCTGAATCTCGTTCTCGTTCTCGGACTCCCTGCGGATAGTGTATTGGTAGCGAACCCCTGGGTTACTCTCCTGAAACAGCAGCTGCGAGCAGACAAAGAAACAATCTAAGTCAAGCTAATTGAGGGAAGAAATGATTTTCTGCCGGCATTTCCCAGGCTTGTCAGCACTCATTAGATGCACAGCTGGGAAACAGCATCAGAGACACCTCTGCTCGTGTACAGCCCTGGGACAGAGAGAGCTGCTCAGTTAACACGGCTCTTAAATGTGGGTTTCTAACTTGGATGTATTGTTGTCTTCAAATGCTGAAAGCCCGAAACACAGAGACCCTGCACCAGATACAAGGCTATTCATTTGAATGCAATAACTCCAGATATCCTCTGGTGTAAAGGAGATGACGATCTGTCCTACTGCGTGCTGTCCCGGGGATCAGGGGCAACAAATCTAGCATTAGCTGAGGCTCCTGGACTGGTTCCAGCCCAGCAGTGCAGAGGAAGGAACGGGAGAGCTGGATTGGGATGTCCTGCCCGTGGTCCCTGTTGGCAAATGCAGCATGACTGCAAATGACTTTGTGCAGCTACTTTTGCAGGCAACAAAATGCTTTCAAAAGTCCAAGGCTATTATGTGTGCACAGACTGGGTTGGGTTGCCCAAAGCCAAAGGCCACTGAGCACCACACCAGCTGAGATGCATGGGACTTACAGACCGGGGCAGGGGAGGAGTGGACCACCAAAGCCAGCTGAAGCAACAGTGGAATTGGGGGAGGCACTGCCATTGCCCAGGCTGAACCCTTGTCCAGTCACAGACCCATAGAAACAAGGCCTGGAAGGGACCTCAGGAGGTCACATCTAGTCCAGCCCCCTGCCTGGAGCAGGACCAGCCCCAACTACATCATCCCAGCCAAGGCTTTGTCTAGCTGGGTCTTCCTCCAAGGATGGAGACTGCACCACCTCTCCAGGTAACCTGGTCCAGTGTTGTACTACCCTCCTAATGACAAAACTCTTTCTAATATCCAACCTCAACTTCCCTTGCTGCAGCTTGAGCCCATTGCTCCTTCTGTCATCTGCCCCCACTGAGAACAGCCCAGCTCCATCCTCTTTGCAGCTCCCCTGCAGGGAGGTGAAGGCTGCTATTCAATCCCCCTCGGTCTTCTCTTCGGAAGACTAAATCAGCCCATTTCCCTTATCCTCTCCTCACCAGTCCTGTCCCCTAGCCCCTGAACCATTTTCATTGCCCTCCACTGGACTCTCTCCATTTTTTTCTGCATCCTTTCTGTAGCGGGGACCCACAGCTGGACACAGGACTCCAGATGTGGCCTCCCCGGTGCTGAATAGAGGGGAAGAATCACTGCCCTCGATCTGCTGGCAACGCTCCTACCCATGCAGCCCAGGATGCCGGTCACCTTCTTGGCACCAAGGGCGCACTGCTGGCTCCTGATCAGCTTCTTGTCCCCTGTCACCCCCAGTCAAGGGATCACAGCTTTCTAGGTTGGGGGGAAAACACATTTAAAAACTGCTATTTGTCCTCTGAAAATTGTCAGACTCCTGGGATTTAAATATAGCCCTTTTGGCAGCACCGGGCCTCTCAGCACTATGCTGACTGGTGAGGAAATCTGCCTTTGCAAGGGGATTCTGGAGAGGGACTAGTTAAAAGATTTCCCTTTTAGTCCAAGCAGAGTCTGAGCTGCCAAGTGAGGGCCCAGAGGAGGGGTTCCCCACTGAGCTCCCGGCTGTCTGGCTTAGGTCTGTATAAATAGCTAAGACGAGAACCAAGCTCCCAGTGTTTGAGGGGAGGATCTGGGATCAGGCCCTGCTGTGAAAGGGCAGACTCGGGGGGCTAGCGGCAGGCTCAGGGCCTGATCTCTGCTTTGCTGTCCAGAGCGGTGAGGCAGGGGGGAGGCACTGAGCACACATGTGTGGTTTTCTTACTCTGAAGTCCAGCATGTGCAAAAAACTTGTCCTGAGCCCCGCAGTGCAGAGCTTTGCCAACACTGGGATTCCCTGCAGCTCCTGCTCTTCCCGCATTTATGCTGGGCAGGCAGCTGCCAGCCCTCCAGAGACAGGAGGGATGGTGGAAAGTTAAAATACCTGGGGAAGTGCCGGCTGTGAACACTTACACAGTGACCTATCCCCACCCTGCAAGAAGGCAGCCTGGGGAATGCAATTAAAGAGGCAATGCTAACAGGAGAGGAGAGAGGCAGGGAAGGAGCAGGAAGAAAATGTTCTGGCAGCCACCAGCATTGAGCAGGGAGTTGGATGCCTGAGTGCTGCACCTCCCTCCCCACCCTGTCCTTCTACAACCCCATGCTCCAGGCAGGGCTGTCCAGCTGGCAGCCTGCAAGGGGTTAATGTGAAGCCCCTAGGCTCCCACCCACTGCCCCTATCACTCCAGCTACAGCAGAAGCTGGGGTGTCTGGGCTCCCCTCCCTCCTCTGGCTTCTGCTCCGTGCCCCCCTCCAGGTTTGCAGCCCACGGTGCTGGGGCTCCCACGTGCAACAGTGCAGCAGCCGCTTTGAGGTTGGCCAGCCCTGTTCTCAGAGAAGACATGTGTTGGAGATGTCCTTGCTGTGAAGCGTTCATGCCGAGCAGCCAGAAAATGCGGCTGTTTCTTTCAAGTTTGGTTGGAAAGGTCAAAATAAGTTTCCCCTCTCCTCTCCTTCCATTGAAGTGAAATGAACCTTGCTACCGAGTTGGGCACGACAGTGGCACTCCCCCCCCGAATTGCTCCCTACTCAAAGCCTGCCGCCAAGGGGTGCCTGGTTGCAACTCTTCTTAGCAAATGCGCATCCTGGAGGGCAGAGCGCAAGGTGACTTGGCGTCATGCACACAACGGGCTCGTCTACACATGCACTTTAATGTGCATTAGCTAATTTCAATGTGCATTTAAGCGTGACTAAAAAAACATGTTTTAATTAATGTGCACTAAAATAGGCTAATGCACACTAAGCGTCACTTAACAACAGACTAATGTGCATTTTTTTAGTTCCTCATAATGGAGGTACTAGATTGAATGTGCATTAACTAAAGCACGTTAATGCACGTGTAGACGCACACAGGGCAGCATGAAATGGGGCAGAGTTAGAGTGATCTGTGAGTTGCAGGGGTGTAAGAACGGCCGCCACAGATGGAGGAAAAACTTTGCGTCTGAGGTGAAACAAGAACCCAGCTGGCAAACACGGGCTGGAAGCGAGTCTCTGAGACCCTCCCCCTGTCAAAGGTGGGGCCTGTCCTTCTCAAGATGATTGGAGCAGCTTCACCAGCGAATAGAAATTCACTGCGAGCTGCCTCGACTGCCAATCACTCCTGCCGAAAGCTCCTGGGCTTAACGTTGTTTTCTTAGCCTAAGCGTGTCCATTATCGCCAAAGCCTTGTTGTTCTTGGAACTTTGGCGGAGGCGAGGGCATCCTTCCAAACCCTTCCTGCCGAATATCAAAACGTCTTTGGCCAAGAGGTTTGAATTACGTTACAAAACCCAGAAAGCTTTCCAGAGATTTGCTGGTGGAAAGCATTCCAGACCTTTAACGTGAACAAGGAAAACAATTTTGCAAAGGTCAGGACAAGGGGTCTTCAGGCTTTCTCTCTCAATATACCTTAACACTTCTGCTCCCTTGATATTTATAGAGCTAGCCTTTCCAACACAGCGGAGCATGAGACCCAAGTGCCCTGGGTTGCTACTTGTTAATGCCACTTTGGAGACACTCTTGGGCTTTGCCTCTAGCTTGCTCCTTTGGCCTTTTGGCTGGGGCAAGCAAGACTAGGGGGCATCTGAACTCCAAGGCCTCTGGGCCTGGGGCGTGCATATAGGATGCCTGCCATGGATTTGGGCCTGGGGCTTGCATGTGGGATGCCTGCCATGGATTTGGGAGTACCTGAAACCCCAGGCTGAAGAGTCTGGGAGGGAGGAGACTTGCTGGTGGTAGCACCTTGCAGACTTAAACCATTGAGCTCTGCTCAGTTGATAGAATTCAGAACTGACTTGGCGTGAGACACGAAACTTCAAAAAAACAATGCCTCGCTTTGGAGATATCTCTCTGTCCTGCTGGGTCCTCTGTGCCAGAAAAGGCACCTGAAGATAGCACGAAAGGCCATTGCAGGCATGTAAAAAGTCTTTAAACTGTTCCATCAAGCCCTATAAGTGACTGGGAGGGTCACAGCAGCATTACGGGGCTCGCTATAGGCCAGTTTTAAAGGCAAAGTTAAGTCAAATGAAAGCAGCTGGTGGCTCTTGCAGGATTTTGCACCGCCTATGAGTTTTGCCTAATTTATGGCTGTATTTTTGTGCCACAACATGTCAAGCAGACTTCCTGAGCAGCACGACTTGGGAGAGCCTGACTCTTCTGTGGGTGGCTGCCAGGATTTCCCTTCATCACATCACTATAATATGGGGCCTCCTAATCACTGGGCACCGTGCAACTCGCACTCAGAGCTCAGGAGGAACAAAGATCTTTGTACCAGGTTGGCTGTAAGGCTGTGGGGTTGGATTGGTCATAACCTCCCCTCCTTCCACAGCTGGGTGTGCCAGTGGTCCAAGGTGCCCCCCATGGTGTTTTACACCCACATGTGACCTCCTACCCACACCACGGATGAGAGCTATGTCACTGATTTCACAGGGAGAAGAACCAAATGCTGCCTTGGCCAGGGTGAGCGACTGCAGACAGTGCAACCTAGCAGAGGATTGGGACCAAGGACTGTCCCTCCTCTGCACCCTATCCTGCTCATGGAAGGGAGTGCTTGAAGGCTGGGGGTCTTCAGTGGCCCCAGGGTCTACCTCTCCCTTAGTGTGACACACGTGTGTGTGTCCAAGTGAAAGGGTGAAGGCAGTTCCTTGCATCAGCTGCTGCGGTCATTCCCTGGTCACCAAGGCAAAGTGCAAGGGAAGGAAATGCAAACAGAGGGGGAAGATGATGGGGAAGGCAGAACTGCAAAATACAGCCCCCCAGGACTTCTTCCCCCACCCTTGGGGGTTGGGGAGTGAGCTGCACCTCCCCAAGGGGCTTCTTCGCTCTCTTCTTCCTCTGCCTCTCTCTGTTTAAAGGACCCCGCTCACAGAGCAGATGCAAGCTGCATCTCATGCATTCAGGGGTGG